GAAATATTTACAGATTTATCTTTCTTTGAAACTTAAGAATTTCTTCAAGAAATTTTATAACTTCTTTTCATTTTAAGGTATCTACTTCAGACTTCAAATATATATCTCTCATTACACACATGTTGTGTGTGACAAGAAGGTTAATAACTCTAGCGTGACTATTTCTAGAATTATTCCCCTTGATCTTGGAATTTATGTTAACAATGTTATTTTTTAGCTCACCTGTCACAAAGTGACAGGGTGAGCTTTTGTGATCGCTTTTCGTCCGGCGTCCGTCCCTAAACTTTTACTTTAAGTGACATTTCCTCATAAACCACTTAGACAATTTCATCCAAACTTCACAAGAAGGTTCCTTTGTAGGTCGCCTTTAAAAATTGTTCAAAGAATTTAATTCCATGCAGAACTCTGGTTGCCATGGCAATCGAAAGAAAAAACTTTAAATATCTTCTTTTAAAAAAACCCAAAGATCTAGAGCTTAGATATTTGGCATGAAACATCTTCTAGTGAGTGTCTACCAAGTTTGTTCAAATAAGTGTCTACCAAGTTTGTTCAAGCCCTGGGGTAAAAATTGGCCCCGCCCCAGGGGGGTCAGTGATTTTCCTTATATGTGTATAGCAAAAACTTAAATGATCTTCTTTGAAAAAAACCAAATAGCTAGAGTTTAGATATTAAGCATGAAACATCTTTTAGTGAGTGTCTACAAAGTTTGTTCAAATAAAAGCCCAGGGGGTCAAAATTGGCCCCGCCCTGGGGGTCATTGATTTTCCTTACATTAACTTGAAAATTTTATTGAAAAAACCCAAATAGCTAGAGTTTAGATATTAAGCAGGAAACATTGTCTAGTAAGTGTATACAAAATTTGTTCAAATAAAAGCCCTGGGGTCAAAACTGGCCTGCCCCAGACATTTGGTAAGAATCCCTGGCCCCTAAATCAAGTTTTTGAGTAGAAAGTTTCTTTGCTGATTCGTACCCCGAGCAGTTCGAACTCGTCCAAATAAATTACAATTTTAATTTTGTATTTCTCTATATCCAGCAACAACTTTGTCTTTCAGCACATCAAATAATTAAACTTAAAATTGAAGTATTATAATTTTTTTCATGCCCAGTTTCATGATTTAAGTCAGCTGTCACAAAATATGTTAAAACCTTTTATGCAGAAATAAAAAAAATCTTTCATATTGATCATGTTAATTTAATTATTATTATGATACATAATTGTAACAACAATGAATTAATTATTATGGTACATGATAATTTAAACAATTAATGAATGTATACAAAAGTTTAACCTTTACCAACATATATACGCGAAACAACGCACTTTCAACCCCCCCCCCCTTTTTGGGCCTCAAATAGTGAAAAAATGACCTATTTGGGCCCCAAAAACATAAGTTTTCGTTTGAGAAAATGTTGCTAAAAAAATTAAGCACTTTTTCGGCGCCGCCCCCCCCCCATCCAAAAGATACATCAGGGGGTTGCCAGAAGGGGGGATGTGCCCCTTCTGTTAGGGGGTTTGAAGGGGGGCGGAGTCCCCCTCATCGCCAAGAAAATTTTGGACTTGTGAGAGCTTTTAAAATGACCCCAGGTCGATCATAATGTAATGTTTAACCAACGCTGAAAAGCCTTTGACTCTATCTCAATCCCTTGAGAAGTTGCAGCCCTTTGAAATAAATTTTGATGGAAAAAATCGAGGCAAAATAGTGATTTTTGGCAATTTTGAGATGTCCCCTCGTTGCCATGGTAACAGGAAATTTGAGACTGAGCATGTCGTTACAAAGGCAATGGTCCAGTCAACATTCGTGCCAAGTTTTATTAGTTTTGAAGCATTTTTCATAGTTTCATAGCAGTTTGAACTTGTAACAGGAGGCTTTTCAGTGAAAACAGCCATTTTTCACAATATGCTCATGGGGGAAAGGGTTAAACAATTTTGGAATTAAAAAATCATTGTCTTAAAAAGTGCTAGTTGAATTCAGTTTTTGCTAGTTAAAAATTTGTCCACTAGCAAAAAATAGGTTATATCAAGAGGCAGCTTGGGATTCTACCCAGGTGTCTGTGATCAAGGTCAAGGTCACTGTTACTTAAAATATAAATTCAGTTTCTGCTCAATAACTTGAATTTGCTTTGGCCTATTGACACCAAACTTGCTGTATGGATAGCTTATATCAAGAGACAGCTTTGGATAGCTACTCAGGTGTCTGTGATCTAGGTCAAGGTCACTGTTTCTAAAAATAGAAATTCAGTTTCTGCTCAATGCCTGTCCCTAGATTTGCCACTAAAATGCCACCCTTTTCAATGGTGGAGTATTTAGACAATTTTCCACCAATAATGCCACCAAAACGCCACCAAAACACCACCCAAATCATGAAAATGGTGAAAAATTTGAGCAGGACTGATGTTATATAATTTTCCAGTTAATTCCACCTTTTTTACACTAAATGCCACCAATGAGTGGAAAATTGGTGGAGTATTTAGACAAACTTTCACCATAATGCCACCATTATGCCACCTTATGGTGGCAAACTCATTTTCCACTAGATGCCACTTGTTTCCACTTATTGCCACCATAATGGTGGAAAATTGGTGGAGTATTTAGACAAATTTCCACCATTATGCCACCATTGAGTGGCAAACTTATTTTCCTCCAAATGCCACTTATTTCCACCTTTTGCCACCATAAGGGTGGAAAATTGGTGGAGTATTTAGACACTTTTCCACCATTTTGCCACCAGATAGTGGCAAATTCAGTTTCCACTAAATGCCACCTATTTTCACCCTTTCAGAAATTTTCCACCTTGTGGGTGGCAATAGCTGGAAACTGCTTGAAAGTCACCCTGTACCCTAAATTGGACACAAACAAATTTTAAAAATAATCCTTTTTAATGTTTCCATATGAAATTATGTATTGTCTCAAAAATAGCAAAACATTAGTCCATTTATTTTTTCAGTTAATCTTGCTATTCCTGGACGGTTTGAGTTCAGTCCTTTAGGTTGTCGGCAACTTTTCGAGCGCACAATCTAAAACAAAAAAAATTATGAATGATTAATACAATACATGTAATTAAAAACATAAGCTTACATTTTTATATGACTATTGGATATTTCTATATTCAATTTGAGTGCATAGATATGATTAAAACACTTTAAAAAACAGCACTGCAGACGTGGAAGAATCAGACTTTTCTTATTTACTCCAAGGCAGAAAATATACGCAGAATCAAAAATGATATTTTCATTCAGTTCATTAGTTACCTTCCAAGAACTTAAGTTTTGCTTTGTCTGCACAAGAAGGTCTGGCGTCAGACTCTCTGTTCCCTTTCCTCATACCAAACAATGAGCGGCCTTTAATCTCTTCTATATTGAATAGCATTCTGAAGAGCTTTGCTGTACCTTTCTCTTTTGAGGCATATGGCTTCAGTTCTGCCATCACTTGCTCCTAAAATATGATTAACAATATCAAATAAGTAAAGACAGAAAATGATTATCAATATCTAATATGACAGAAAATGAAACACTTTTATAAGACCTTGGTATATGTATACAACTCTAAAATTTTAAAATAAGAAAGAAATAAAGAAATACAACACATCAACACCAGTGCAGGTTGAGTAATTAATAATCTTCCAGTTTCAGTTCTTAATGAACCTTCATCAGGATAAATATTTGATAAAATTTTCAAGCTAAAATGTACAAAAACTCTAAAATTTGTAAAACAAAATGTAAATGCAAATTAAGTGTCATAAAGAGTTTTGAAATTAAAGTAGGTTTGTAAATAGTGACTAATAGCTATATTTATCAAGAACTGAAAGTGTCTTATTGGGTACTGTGACACTTCTTTCCTATTAATTCTAAAATAACTTTGAATTAACAAGATACCTTTGTAAAGCCACTGAAGATCAAATGTGTTGCTCCAGGCTGCTCCTCATTGCTTTGTGTCTGCAAAATAATAATTCTTATTTAATGCTGTTTCTGTTATGAACTGTCATTCTCCTAATAGCATGTTACTCTAGACTGTCTAGTTATGGTTATATAATTATCTACTGCACCATGAAAGCTGAATTACAACAATGAAGGAATGAAACTTACTAGAAAAATCAGTTACTGTTAATCTGCTCCACATGTGACACACAAGGAAAATTGTTTATAGCATGAAAGTTGTAGTAATAGGTACCTCAGGTTATCTTTAGTTTGATTGATGTAATATTGTACATAATGATATTGTACTTACTGATTAATTTCTATATTTTTTTTCTCAAACTTAAAATTTCTAACATATTGTATTTAAGAAATGATGAAGATCTTCATACATTCTTTATATTCCTACATTCTTTATATGTACATTGTACATGCAGCTTTCTTTTTAGTCAAGTTACAAACAAAACAAATATAAAACACAATTTTATACAAATACCACTTCATATTTTTACTGTCAAAAAACTAAACAGTTTCTGCATAAATAACAATAATTATTGTATGTAAAAGTTGTTTACCTGAAACTTTGACTGGGAATGATTTCTGCTGTTTTATCTTCTTGTCTACACATTCACACTTCAGTTTAAAACTTCTCATTTCTATTTACCACACTAATAAGACTTTAAATGTTTTCTTTGAGAAATCAAAAATATGCACCCTTACATTTTAAACAAAATATCTCCAGAATTTGCTACAATATCATAATTTCCTTTGTTTTGCAAGCTTTAACTGACCCTCAATCCATTTGAATTCAAACTTTACAACGGTGTAACTGCATGGACAGTCCATTATAATTTTAAATTGAGAGGATTTTCCAAAGACCATAGCACCCATCATTTATTTTTTTACATTCATTTGAATGTATAAACTATATCTAATACCTAAAAATAGATGAGTAGAAATAAGCTTTTGAAAGATAATTTAGAATGCTATTTTTAAGACAAATTCTACATAAAACATGTATAATGTTGCCTCTCCCAAAATAATCAAATGGAACATTCTGGTCAGCATGAGTAAAACTATTAACCCCCATTCATAGATTACTAGATAAGAGGGCAGTAGTTTTATCAGATCTGAGATGTATGCTGTGTTGTTAAATCTTAGAGGATGCAGTATTTACTAGCTAGTATTTACTTATCCTGATTGTAAGAAATTTATCAGACATTATGACTTATTTACTTTTCACACATTAATTTTTACAATAGATTTAAAGCCTCTGAAAGCATAGCACAAAAGATGTTAGAGACAATAATTTTAAACTCCACATATGTTTGTAACGTACTTTTGCCGCAGTGTCAGGATAGCTGTTTCAAAAATACGCCACAAGTTCTACTGTATAAACATATATGCTAACTTAGCATCAGTTATATACAGCACCCGGTTTCAATGTTATATTAGTAGAATCTTTTCTTTAGGATTTCCGGAATAAATAATACAACGCTTTCATCAAGTTTCAATTCTTTGGTTTAATAGTGTATACATAGTTTTGTATACATAAACTGCATATATATTCTAACATTTAATATATCTTATCATCAATATACAGAAATAAGTTTCGGCATCATTTCATAAGGCGCTATGTTAAGTGATTTTATGATTTCCTAAAATATAAGTCAACAACGCTTTTATCAAGTTTGGATTCTTTGGTCTAATATCCGTTTAGTTTAGGATTAAAAGTTATAACATGAAGTACGTCAGCTCTCATTCAGGAAAAGTTGCTTAATAAAAGTTTAATACATATTCCAATGTGATTTAGGAGTCTTTCCTAAATAGAAACTTACTAAAATTCAGTTTTGATGTTTTCCGCTCAGTTTTGAATTATCGCGCCTAAGCAACTTTAGTGGGCGTTGTTGTTTCAAAATGAGGACTGTCGCTCTATTTATAACCTTTGAGCCGTTTAGGAATTTAGGAAAGGATTCCCGACCAATCAGATTGCACTTAGGATTTATCTAAGCCAATCAGAATCGGTTAGGAATTCCCATCCTAAAATGAGTAAACAGCTCAACAGATCATAATAACAAAATACAAAGTAAACATATAAAGTTGTAAGTAATCATTATGTTGAGAAATAACACTTACGCTATTTAATACATCTCAATTAAATACTTATGGTAATTTAGCAGGATTATTACAATTAAAGAGAATTAGGGTGATTCCACAACCCAACTTTACTACGCGAATGACCGAACAAATAGTGCGGTCTTGTTTTACACAAATAAATTATTACAATAAATCTCTTGAACAATTTGAGAAGCAAACATTATAATCACATAATACAAAATACATGTTACACAATAAAGTCAAATATGCTTCATTTCTAAACAAACTACAGATATCGGTACTCGTGTACCTAAAACAAAGATGGCAGCCTCCATGAACATTTTAGGAAAGTTTTAGGAATTATTATTTAGACAAAAATAAATTGATTAGAGCATGTTTCATGAACAATTACTGATTATAACATCAAAACATAATGGATACTACAAAAATGTGGAGTAACAGACATGTTAATCCAGGAATAAAGAAATAATCGTGCTTCCTAAAATGTCAACAATCTAACATGAAATTCGGAGAAAGGTAACATTCAATTTTAGGAACGTTTATACATAGTGAATAATTAAAATGCTGAAAACAATATAATTACTTTACTGTCCTTATTTGAATAGGAATATTGCGTTTACATTACTTAAATGCTAAAAATGACAAAAAGTAATTATTTAATAAATAAATAATGATTCTAAAAATAGAATATTTCAGTAACAATAACAAGCTTACATGTCTTACAACTCTCCCTACCTTAAAAGTCTTACTTCTCCTGAAGTAACATGTTAAAAATAAATATCAATACTTACATTTTAAATTATTTTGACATTTAATGATTTATGACTAGATATTTATGTTTTACTTAGAAAACTATTTTACCTAATACTTCAGTTTAACAATAATTCATTTTAATTTTAAAGGTACATTTGAAAGTTTCTTGAGCAGCTGGTCCTGTCTGTTGTATCCTGTTGTGTTAAAGCAATTGAGGAATTCGACTTGTTGCGAAATGGTTGATGACAAAACAGTTCTCTCAGTTAAAATCAATATTGTTGAAGATTATCTGTCAATTTATGTTCTCACTGCGCCTCATCTCTACCAGTAGAACACGTTTGAGCAAATCGCTGGCGAGTGATCAATTCACCTTCATTACTCAAATAAGAGACGTCTCGGTTCGAAATTATGTGTCGCACACACAAACTCAGTAATGGACCAGCCATTATATAGATACAAAAGATGCAGCTGCGCAGTCTTGCCACACAAAATTGACATTATTCTAACATTTTGATTTTTAATCCTTTTGAGTGGTGCTTATACACCGCTCCTTTAGCCAAACAGGAATCTGAGAGCCAACATACTTCATGAGTCTATCAACATGCAACGGCGAGGCCGAAGACTTTGCTGACCTTTTAACGAGATAAACAAGGTCATCGATTTGACATATAATAACGCAAGGACCTTTCCAACGGGGAGCTAGTTTATTGCTTACACCTGGACGTCGTGTTGGATCGTGAACCCAAACAAGATCTCCAGGTTTAAATGTTCTCTTTTTAGAAAAGAGGTCATAATGCTTTTTACGGTAGATTGCGTTTGTTTTGAGAACTTCGCGAGCCTTGTTATGTATTTCGTCGAGTCGTTGTTTAAGTTCTGTCACATAAGAATCGGGTAAGGCTCGAACTTCATCTGAGAAAGTTTGCGCTGGTAGCAAGCCGATGCAAGCTTGCAGGGGTAAAGTGATTTCATGACCGAATACCATTTTATTTGGCGTTTGACCGGTACTTGAATTTTTCGAAGAGCGGTAAGCTAACATTACTTGTTGAAGATATTGGTCCCAACTGCGCTGATTATCAGCACAAAACATGGTGAGCATTGCAGCTAGTGTGCGATTAAATCTTTCTACTGTGCCATTTGACTGGGGATGCAATGGTGTACTTTTTGTGTGATGTATGTGCAAAAGTTCACACATATCGCTAAAAAGTTTTGAAGTGAAGTTACTGCCTTGATCGCTATGAATGGTAAGAGGTACACCGAAACGAGAAACATAATGATCAACAAAAGCTTTCGCAATGGTAGCTGCTTCTTGATTAGGCAAGGCGATAGCTTCTGTCCATCTCGTGAAGCAATCACATATTACAAGTATATATGAGTTACCAGAGGCAGTTTTTGGAAGTGGTCCAAAAATATCAATAGCGCACTTTTCAAGGGGCTCTGAAACAAATGAAGATCCAAGGGGAGATTTGGTGGGTTTTGTGGGTTTACGTGATGCACATTGATCACATCTTTTACAATAATTCTGGATGTCCTCTTTCATTCCAGACCAATAAAAGCTTTGGCGAATTTTCTCTAAAGTCTTTTCGGCGCCTAAGTGACCACCTGTAGGAATGTCGTGCAGAAAATGAATAAGTTCTGCACATCTTGATTTAGGGACAACTATTTGTTTTATTTGGCTTTTCTCATCATCATACCAGGTTCTAACTAAAACTTTGTCTTCTATGGAAAGCCTTTCCCACATTCGCCACAGTGATTTTGCTGAAGACGAAAGTGAGCTTACAGCATGCCATCTAGGGCGATCAGACTCATTTTCTAAAGCTTCAATAATGAAATTCAGCTCAGGATCTTTCCTTTGCTGTTCAGAAATTTCAACAGGGCTCCAACCTGGCACTGAACATAATGAGTTTCGAAATAAAGAAGAATTTTGACTGCGCGTTACAGCTCTTAACAAGTGACCATTGTTTAAGTCATTCTCTTCTTTGTCAATGTGAGAAAAATCATTATTATTTTTATCTGAAGATTTGTCAGTATGGTGAGAAGAGATATTTTGAAAATCAGCTTGAGGTTCATCTAAGGCATTGTTGCTTTCTTGTTTAGCACATTTTGAACAAGGTGACCTAGATAATGCATCTGCATTTCTATGTTGTAACCCGGGACGATGCTTGACAATGAGATCATATGTACCAAGGACTTCGAGCCAACGAGCAACCTGGCCAGTTGGTTGTTTTAAATTTTTCATCCAACTAACTGCGGCGTTGTCAGTGCGAAGTATGATCTTTTGGCCGTAAAGATAATGATGGAAAGCCTTCAAAGCATGTACTACTGCTAAAAGCTCTTTGCGTGTTACACAGTAGGACATCTCATGCTTATTTAAACTTTTACTGTAATACGCGATGACAACCTCTCTACCATTCTGCACTTGAGAGAGAACAGAGCCTGTTGAAAAATGACTTGAGTCTGTATCTAGTATGAACTG